ACATAACTCAACTGATGCAATGATATTATCAAGAACTGCAACCAAATTCATCCATGTGCAGGTAGTGACAATTCTGTCATGACAGTGATGGTAACAATCTGTGGATTATATAAGACATCCTGCCTTCAGAGAAGGCAGCCAGGGAAAGTGCATCCTAGAGTCGGTGAAATGCAATAATAAGGTTGATTCCTGTCTTCCAAATGTCCATCATAATGTGGAAATAAGACATAGACATATGACACCATAAGTCAGTGACCTAGGTAACTTTCAAAGGGCTGTCACAGAAAAAACTTCTCCAAGTCTTCAGTGCAGAAAGATAACAGGTGTTGTTTTAGGTTCTTTTCAAAGGAAGGATGGAGATCCAATTCTTCTTAGTATTAAATTCTGTGGTCCTGTTTCTACATGTCAAAATAGTGTACAGTAATGTTTCGTGCAAGGAAATCTGACACCTCAACCTAATTCCCAGGCACTGGAGAGGTGTAGCATGTTATAACACAATCCAGAGACAGCACTCATATCCCACAAAGGCACTCAGGCAGCAAATTGAGAAGAATGGAGAATGCGTGTCCTGAAAGTCAGAGTTCTCTATGCAGACCTCCAGCCAGGTAAGCCCAGGTGCTGTCTCCCCAGAGTTGGCATACATGTGGAACTGCACGTATTTATGCTTAAACCATATCCCTAACTTGAATATTCTCATCCAGCCTCAAACCACCAGTCACTTAATGACAGCTCATCTCAAATCCTCAATAGGAACAATGAGGTTTGAGGATTCCTCGCTGACAAGAGAGCAATCAGGGCACTGGAAGAGAACAGATGTGCAGGGATAGAGGGTTGACACATGGACCATTACCAACAATACTACCCAGAGGGCACTGGAATCTACCAGGGCAGCTCTGCAACCATCCATTGTCTTCCTACTTATGCCCTACAGCCTGCTTCCATAGTATAAAACATTGTAATCTGTAAGCCAAAGGTTATATTCCTTAAATCGGAACATAGTACCTCCTGTTTTGTGACTATTTAGAAAGATGTGCCGATGATGTGTGCTCTGGGTTGAATTGTGTCCCCCAAAAGAAAGGTTGAAGTCCTAACACCCAATACCTCAGAATGTGACTTTATTTGGAAACAGAGTGTCTACAAAGGTAATCAAGTTAAAATGAGGTCATTGCAGTGGGCCCTAATCCAGTATCACTGGTGTCATTGTAAAAAGGGGAAATTTGGACGCAGAAACTTATACACAGAGAAGAAAGATGTTGTGAAGACACACAGGGAGTACCCTCTGTGAAAATGTTTAGAATGATGCGTCTACAAACCAGGGAACACCAAAGATTGGTGATCGACCACCAGCAACTAGGAAAAGGCAAAGAAAGATTCTCTCTTTCAGGTTTCAGAGGAAGCACGGCAATGCCAACACCTACCTTGACTTTTGACTTCTCTCTTAAAGAACTGGAACACAATACATTTCTGTTGTAAGCCACCCAGTTCATGGCACTTTCCCTCAGTAGCCCTAGCAAGTGAGTGTAGCATCAAACAATGTCTTTTATTTAGTGGGTTCCTAAGAATGATCAAATGTCAACACTTCATCATTTGCTCAAAATATTTTTAAGCATAGGTGGAAAGTGTGGAAGAGTACAAATACTTTTATTTATTACACAAGAGCCAGACAAATGCGACAGACAGCAACAGTTCTGCCTGTGCTTAGTTTCCAATAGCTACCATAGGAAGTGCCAATGTAAATTTAGCTAAGTAGCTACTTCCCACTGAATATGATCAGAACAGAAACAATGCTAGACCACATCAAGGATCTCAGGCACTGCTCCAGCTTTTTCAAGAGAGAAAGTTGATAAGTACTCCAATGGCTAAAGAATTGTTTCAAACCAAATGCGTCACTGTTACTGTGAAAAAAAAAAAAAAAGGGTCACAATCATGTAGGAAGTTCCAGGGCTCAGGAATTGTGGATATAGCTGCCCATTGGTCCCCTGGGAATAAAATAATTTTAGTTGAAAAGCTTGTGGCTGAAACCTAACACCTGAAGTAAGAACACAATGGTTTTTTGTTAAGGTATCTATACCCTATTATCTACTCAAACATTTTAAAGACTAAACTCAACTCCAACCTCATTTCTGTCCTCCAAAGGAACACAAAATCTGAGATACATAGTTTGCAAATAACAATCAATATATGCTATGACTTAAACCACACTCAAAATGTGACATTTCACCTTAATTCAAAGATAATCAATTTTTCCAAAGAATATACCAAGATCTATTGATTGATGCATTCAGTTCTTCATAATGGCAAAGATGAAATGAGCACCAATTTCTTTTTTAAAGGGAAGTGTTATTATTCAAATATTTGTTATGATGACATTTTAATCAGATTTCTTGAAAAGTATTCCCAAATCAGACTTTATTTATTAGCTGATATGTCAAAGTAGAAATGTATTTTCATATTATAGAATTACATGGAACAGGGACTCTATAAATTGTCTTTAAAAAATAAACGTTATTTAATTTTTTTACTTATCTAAAACAATATAAGAAATAATTCTCCATAGGTTTAATAAGATGTTCAACAAAACTTAGTTTGTCTTAATTCTGATTAAAAGCAAAGTGACAGATTGCCTATAATTGTCTCAATCTAGAATGCTTTGAATGCTTTTTTTTTTTTTTTTTTGTTCCCTTGGGGATTTGTTACTATTTGGGAAACAAGAGCTTTCATTTTCAGCTCCATTCCCACCTAAAACTTCCCCTGGACTTTTTTTGGTCACTATTATATTCAAGGCCAAATTGTTTCTCCATTTGACATGTCTATCTTTGCTCCACAAACCTCTTATGACTTGAAGGCATCTGGATTCTTTAGATGTGACTAAAAAAGGAGACAAAAAAAAAATTAGTAATTTTTTTAACAGGTAGTAAGAAAGTCTTCTTTATCCAAAATTCCAAAATTGGCCTCTTACTCTAAACAGCTTTTCTTAAACTGTCCTGTAAAGTAATCGAGGCTACGTGTTGCTCTTCTGCCCTGCATGTTCTTAGAGTCCTAATAAATACTAACACGATGCAGAGGAAGGAATGAGGTGTCAAGACTCTTGATTTCTTCTTAAGAGCTGCTTTGCACGCCCTCTTTCTGTGGGAAATACCTTTCAACGATTATTGCAAGAGCTGTGCACAAGTTTGGTTACCGCATAAAATCAGTTTATTAATTGTCACTTGTTTCTCAAAGAATAGTACATCTCTCTGATGGACGCAACTTAACACTTCCATTTTGAGGGTTAGGTAACTTGAACCATGTCAATACAGAGATATTTTCAAAGTGACTGGCTCCGTTTTTTAAGGACCCATTAGATGGGTTTTAATCGTCATGACTTTGAAAGTCAATTAATTGCAAGTAACTCAGATGTGTTCTGTTCTGAGACTGTTTCTATGTATTCATTAAAATTGATTCCCTCTTGCCCCGCGTGAGGTTTCTACTTGCTTTGTTCCTACAGAAACCAACATTTTAACATTCAAGTGCAAGTGCTTTTTTGATTTAAAAAAAAAAAGAAAGAAAGAAAGAAAGAAACCAAGATTTTAGACTCAATAAGTCTTCCTGAGTCTTCTTATTTTCAGAAACTTTGCTATGGAAGAATTGCTTGCTCTGCCCCCCAGCACTGAGATTCCATGAGACCAAGTCTAGCACATTCCCTCCACCCATTCATCCAGGACAGGACTGACGCTGGGACCTGAAATTCATACCACGGTTCAGTTCAAAATGTTAGCCTTCCCCAGAGGAAGACTTAACAAGAGTCATAGAGTCAGAAGAGATTGGCACAGGGCAGCAGAGGACAAGGGAACAATGTGGTCTGAGGAGGAAGGTCAAAGGGCTTCTTCCCCAGAGGTCTCAAGTTCTATCCCAGGAATTGCCTGGACATGTGGGAAGAGTTCAATGAAAACTGGAAGAAAAAAATATTTCTATGCTTGTTACCCTTCTTTTATAAGTGCCTCTATATTTAAGCCTTTATTGACTGATCATAAGGACAAAAATTGTGAAACAATGTTATGAATGACTGATTTTTACTCAAAAAAGAACAATTTTGCCCATGTTAGAATATAATTTTAAAAAACTGAAAATTGTCTTGCTGTATTATGAAAGTAGTAAATTAACCTGATTTTCGAACTTTCCTGAGACTTAAATTTTAAATAACAGCTCCATTTAGATATAATGTACATACCATAAAAGTCATCCTTTTAAAGTGCACAAGTCAGTGGCTTTTAGTATCTTCAAAGTACTTTTAGTATCTTCAAAGCCATCAGTACTATAATTTTAGAACATTTTCCTCACCCCAGGAAGAAACCCGTGCCCATTAGTAATAATTCCCTATTCTCTCCCCCCACAAGCTCCTAACATCTACTAATCTACTTTTTGTCTCTATGTATTTGCCTATTCTGGGAATTTCACACAAATGGAATCACATGATATGTGGTCTTTTCTGACTGATTTCATTCATCAGCGACGTGTTGTCGGGGTTTGTCCTTGTTTTACTTTGCTCCTCAGTATCAGTTATTTGCTCCTTGTTTTACTTTGCTCCTCAGTATCCTTTTATTGCCACAGAGCTGAACCGAGAAGATCACGCTCAACTCCCCAAGGAAACCAATTTGCTGGATGTTTATTACCTAGACAAAGCTTTCGCATTAGCTTGATGTGATTCGTTCTATTTCCGGGTCATAACCCAAGAGCAACCTGGTAAACATGGTCCCACTTCCGCCGGGGTCCTGGCTGGAAGCCAAGGCACGCACGAGTTGGGCAATTTGATGACACTTTAATAAAGGGACTCTTCAGAAAGTTTGGGCAGGATGTGGAATCTACGTGGGACAGTGCGGCACGCCATACGAGCAAGGGGCTCTTACCACCGCGAGGCCCGACGACGAGGGAAGGAAGCAGTGACTGCGCCCCAGAGGGACAGCTGTGTGCAGAGGGCCACCCGGCAGGAGCCGGATAGTGGGAGGAGATAATCCCAGAGGCCTGGACCCTGGCAGTGCCGCTTTACCTAAGAGATGATCACAAGGGACACTCGGGGGCACTTCCTGGGGCACTCACGTGTCCTGAGAGAAAGCTCTGCAGAGGGAGCAGAGTGATGAGCGACACACCGGGTGAGAACACGACAAGGTGAGAGCCTGTGATTTCCATTCCTCTGCAGTGGCCCGGGTAGAGCTGCCGTAGAGTCACACACACCATGGTGCTTGCCAAGAGATCTTTTTAATTTTTCATGGTAACCAGAATACGGCTGAACTGAGAGAGCAGGTTTGGGTGCAGGCATACAAAGAGATTTAAAAAAAAGAGAGAGAGAGAAATTTTTATCAGAAATAATGAGGAGAGGTATTTTTTTTTCCTCCCCCTGACCTATGCTGATCCCCAAGGGACTGGGTGGGCCAAGTGACTTGCAGTGGGGCCTGGATGCATTTGTATCCAGAAAGAGAGAACCAGTCATTTTTAGATCTAATTATTCATAATAATGAAAGGTGGCCTTATTATGATCTCCACAAATGGTACTCTCTCATGCTTCTTTAATTCATGCAAGTTTAAAATGCATATTTCATCACTTCTTATTCAAAGTCATTAGTTTTTCCTCTTGTTTAGTTACTAACACTGAAATAACATGGCTTTATTATCCCTTTCATTGTAAATGAATAATTATATTAAAGATTAAATAAGTTTTTGCTTGCTACTTTGAAAAACCAAAACCACTTTGATCGTTTCTGTTAGAATATGCATTTTGATTCTAAATAAAAGACTTTAAAACAAACTTTTGTAACATACTCATATATGAACTGGGGCTCGTTGATCTTAAGAGCTGAGTTGCCAGAAAGAGAAAGTGAGTAGAGAAGAACGTGGGGGCAGCAGAGATGAACTTCTTTTTAACAGGGAGATACATTTATAAGGGCAGTAATCAGTGAGGGAATTCTGAGTAGCACTGATCAAAAGGGACATTTACTGTATTGAAGAGGAGCAACATACCAGATTAAATATGTGTTGTCAGTGAATTCTGAAGAACTTATTTCTCTCGGCACTGCACTGAGACAAACAAACTAGATAAAGATAAAGATATTGTAGAATGTTTACATTCTTGACCAACCAGTGAGGCCGGCCAAGTTTACAGTTGGAATTACTCCAAATGGATAGAGGTTCCAGCTACATTCAAGGCTCTGGCACCTCTCCCAGTTGCTCTAGTTACTGAGCTTTTCCTAATCTTAATGATTTTGTAATATAAGCAAACATACAAATAGAATAAGCTTCTCTTAAGGCGAAGGTCTGGGGAGGAGCGTGTGCAGGGTGAAGGATGAGATATCAAGGGAAGAAGCTTAGGCGATCTATATAGAACCGTGCTACAGCTTCTCACATTTTGATGCACCCACATGACCTGGCGATCAGGTTGAAATGCAGATTCCATTTCAGTTAACTCTGAGGGGTGGCCTGCGGTTCTGCACTTCTAGAAGAACACTGCTTAGTCCATAGGCCACATGCACTAGACCTCCCGTCTCTCCATCTGACATTAGTGTCAACAGACCATACGTCTCTGAGTGCATCTCAACTGTTCTACCACACAGCATTGGTGCCAGTAGGAAGTTCCAGGAAAAGGAAACAGTGGAACTCTTTCTTCCTGTGACTTTTGCCAGTTGGCTTGACAGCGAGCTGTGGCTGCTTGCTATCTTGACCAGTTTCTTGGCTTCTGCAACCATCAAACTGTTCCAAATGGGTTAGGAAAAGTAGATGCAGGCCCCAGTAGAAAGATCATTTATTAAATATAAAGGAATTTTTGCCTGGACTATGACAAAGACATACAGTACAATGTTGCTAAAAGTATAATGCTTTATTAGGGTCTCCTAGTCTTAAGAAACTTTTGGTTTAGCACAGAAGTTCTTATCCTTAGGAGAAAAGAAAAGCTATCTTTATGTCAGTAATCGTTAACTGAAATTTATTATCTTTTCTAATATGAAAGTAAGCATCACCATGGTCTTAGAACTTATGACCTCATCATAGATGGAAATCACAGATATTTTTATAGCACATTATTGTTGTTGCAAATCTCTCCTCTCTCTATATATAGATATATATCACTACATTAGAATCACATTCATTACTTTTTATTTTTGTCTTTGAAACAGAGTCTCACTCTGTCGCCTGATCTAGAATGTGGTGGCATCATCATCATAGCTCACAGCAGCAACCTCAACTCCTAGGCTCAAGTGATTCTCCTGCCTCAGCCTCCTGAGTAGCTGGGACCACAGGTGCATATTGGTCCAGCTAGTTTTTAAATTGTTTTGCAGAGACGAAGTCTCGCTCTTTTTCAGGCTCATGCTAGTCTCAAACTCTTGGCCTCAAGAGATCCTCCCACCTTGGCTTCCCACAGTGCTAGGATTACAGGCGTGAGCTACTGTGCCCAGACCACACTCATTGGTATACTGTCACTCGGACTCACATGATTCCAGTCTTTCTGTCCACAGATGCCCTTGTGATGCAAGTTGGCCAACAACTGGCCAGTTCTGAGTCTCGTACTGAACAGCCGCCAAACAGTGAAGTCACATGTAGTACATTTGGTGACCTCAGCATCTACATTTCTTTCCCCATCTACAATTTCTTATTAGTCAGTATATGGAAGGAGATGAGTCAAAGACCGCTCCACAGTTTAATACTCTTATTTTAGCTAATCTACAACAGCCTTCATACTGATGTCTTTAAAAATAAAATGAACTTACCTATATTTTAAATGTTTTCTTTTCAATGTGTTAACAAAAACATATGTATACATATGTACATATGTACTATAGCAAGAATTTCTTTTTTTAATGTTTTGATAACCGTATTTCACTCCTTTTAGTGATGTCTCTTATAATCTTATGCATTTTATTTTATGCATTAAAAATGTTACTTTGGGAAGGGGTCCCTAGGCAGACTGACTACCAAAAGAGTCTGCGACTCAGAAAATGAGAACCCTTGATCTAGTAGAATTAATGCACATTTGAATAGTTTATTACCATCCCAAAACCCTTTTTTCATGAATGTAAACTAATGTTGAGAGTTACTCTGAAGCACTGGGCAGCTCTTTTCTCAAAGGTCCGCAAGAAACAGACTGAGACATCAAGTTCTTGCCCATCATGTGCAGGGTTATCAAAAATGGTGAAGGTGGAACACCAAAGGATCTAGTTCGTTCATTCATTCCTTCCTTCATTCATTCATTCCATAGAGGTTTATTAGTGCATAGCACACATCGGGAACAATTATACCTGTTGAAAATAGAACAATAACAAAACAGAAAAGACAAAAATGTCTTCAAGCCTCCTTGAGCTTGTATTCTAATAGATTATCTTTTCTCCACTGCAGATACCTCAGTTAAAGGCACCACAGGTAAGACAGCCAGTGAGAAAGCATGAGACAGAGAGACATAAAACTCTAATAACTTCCTTCACTAACCAATTTAACCACATAATCAATACGGTTTTTTGAGACAGCAAAGCAAGAGTACTGCCTTCTTCATTCAAAGTGTCTTACTTTTAAAAATTGTTGCACTTTGGTCTTTTCAAAATAATTTACAGTTATTTAAAATGAACAAGTAGAACACTAAGGTCAGGATATTTCTATGAGTCTTAAATTCACCTGAGAGGATTTATTTAGTTTTACTATTTAAAATTATATGTTCTATGAGTATCTTTTTGTGAAATATTTCAGTGGCCACATAAACTATTGATGTAAATTTTGCCTTGAAAAGTTTCTAGGCCAAATAGTTTGAAGTTATGATGTATGACCCACACCTTTGGGGACTCAGTCACTATTGATCTAAACATCAGAGCCTCGGGACAAGTGTTGTTTTTTTTTTTTCTTTTCTTTTCTTTTTGGAGACAGAATCTTCCTCTGTCACCCATGCTGGAATGCAGTGGCGTTATCATAACTCACTGCATCCTTGAACCCCTGGGCTCCAGTGATCTTGCCTGAGCCTCCCAAGTAGCTGGGACTATAAGTACATGCCAACACATTCAGCTATTTTTTAATTTTTTGTATGGAGAGAGTTTTGCTATGTTGCTCAGGCTGGTCTCCAACTCCTGGGCTCAAGCTGTCCTCCAGCCTCTACCTCCCAAAGTGCTCAGATTAAAGTCGTGAGCCACCATGCTCAGCCCAGGAGAAGTGTTTTCCAGGGAGGATTCAGTTACTGCCTTTCGGCAGTCTCACTGCCCACCTTTCTGCTATTGTGGGGCAGCCATTCCTTTCAGGCATGTGTCTTAGGCTACCCTCTGCCTCTTCTATATCTGCAATGCAGGTTCTTGGCAGAAATGGCAGCTTTAACTGTCTGTTGTGTAACCCCTCAACAAATGCTTCATTATGAGAGCTAGTGCATATGAAGTAATACCTGAAAGACATATTCAATTCTCCATTTATTCTAAATGTTTTCTTTGGACCAAAACAGACAATAAAAATAAAAACAACCATCCCCTGAGCACTTGTTCCATGCCACTGTGCTAAGACATTTAACTCATCGTGTGCTTATAGCACTGTCATGTGTAGCTATTAGTTATCCCCATTTCACATATGAGGCACAGAGAAGTGAAGTAACTTACCTGAGGTTGTATAGCTAAGCCTCAGGACTAGTGTTCACATCAGTTTGTCTGATCCTAAAGTGAGTTCCCTTTATCGCAGTAAGACTTTCCTTATCAGAAAACCACATGCTTAAATTGTACTACTTTGGAACTTTATGAATTAATTTACTTAAATATGCTTTAGCCTTACTTTACCAAGTGACATTGCAAAATGCTCCCATAAATATCCATACAAAACTGCCAATGTTGATAATGGTTGTTGCATAAATAGGACCCATCAGAAACTATTCCCAGATATGTAGGTCAAATAAATCTGAGATCCTTCTGAATCATTCTTGTTGTTTTATCTCAAGGACACTGAGTACCATGTAACCGATCCTGTTTTTCTTTTTCACTTTGGCCACTAGGATGCATAGAGACAATTGTTGCCAACCTCTAGCACCTTTCCATATGCATATCCGTATACCAATTTTACCATAGATTTATTATTTTCCTACCTATACTTTTTCTTTGTTCTAATTCTCTCATCTATTTATTTTAGTACTTTTTCTTGCATGTATTTTTTAACCTACTCAAATC